ATATATACCTTGAATATATATATACACACACACAGTATATATATGGGGAGTGGTGGCACAGAGGTTAACTGGTTCGACTCCCTGGACCGATAACATCAAAGTGTGGATGGGAAAGGTGAAACACCCACACCTACCTCCACCCTCATTTGCCCCACTCTGGGCCCTTGAGCAAGGCCCTTAACCTTGACCATCTTCTCCCCCAGGCATCCTTGATGGCAGCTCTCTGCTCCACACAGAGGGCTGTGGTAGCTCAGTGGGCTGTGGTTCAGTCAGGAAGGTCATCTGGTGTAAAAACAATTGCCAAGTCTTTGTGTTAGTTAATTTGCTACTTTGGTCTTAGCTGTGCTTGGACTATTCATTAGCTCATCTGACTATCAAAGTTCGTGCTCCATAATCCAGGTGAAAAATCCAACAAAGTTCAGTCTTGTCATCAAAATGAACTTTTTATCCAAACTGAGGTTGTTTAAATTTTTTTCTGTTACTTCAAAAAAAATCAAATTTAAATTAAGGTAACGTAACAGTTCATAATAGCATGCACATTGTCCACCGCTTTGTAAGCCCAAGTTTTTTAATCAAAGATGTCACATCATCGGTTAGCACTCAGAGTGTGGGTTGGGTTGGACCCACAGTTTTACCTCAGCATCTGTAACATGAAACACTTTCATAAACAGTTCTCCATAATAGCTGCTAAGACAGTCTTTAAGCCACTTTTGACCTCATCACAAATCAGTATTTTAATGGCCACATCCTGCAGAACCAAGAGCTTTCAGAAATGTAGACATGACAAATTAACTCAGTTTAGTGGAATTATTTGTGTTTAATTTTTTTTTTTTTAATTAAATGCTAAGTTGTTTTTTTCCCTCATCAGTTCTATTTCATATAGGCTTCGCCCTTTAAGAGCTGTCGCTTAGTGGGTTTATCCCGTTATGCGCAAGCATCATACTGAAAAAATTAGTCCACGCCCACCTGCTGTGTGGGCCCCACCCGATCCGTATAAATTACATTAAGAGCGGGTAATCTGCTCCCATTTTTCTTCAGCAAGCTAGTACAATAAAAAAACAACTGACCTTTTCGTCGAGATGTCCAGCTCCAGCACCATCCGCTTGTGTCCCTCCTGCAAGACCGGTTACTTGCTTAGCTTCGACCGGCACGACACCTGCGAGGGATGCCTGGGTCCCCGCCACGTCGCCCGCGCTTCCTCCTGCCGCCTCTGTGACGAACTTCCACCGGAGGAAAGGCAGAGGAGAGCAGCCTTGTTTAAGGCTACCATCGAGGACTGCCTGTCCGTGGCGGGAGACTGCTCGTTGGACGACGCCATGGATTTCTTCGACGCCGGCTCTCGGAGTGAATCGGATGATTCCTCTGGGACCGGTGACGCTAGCAGCAGCCCCGACGCTCGTTCCCTCCCGGGGAGCGCAGTGTTGGAAAGAGGGAGGCAGAGCGGATGCTCGACTCCCCCGGGGTTTCCCGCTTCAGCGACCACATCGCTCCCTGCCGTGGGCGCGCTCCTCTCGGAGCTGCCCGCCATTATCCGGGAAGCTGCTAGCGTAAAGGGGCTCTCCGTCCCCTCACCCCCCCCGCTCAGATCGGATGATCTTGCGGGAAGGTTTGGCTCCACGCCGGCTCGCCGTCCTGATCCCATTTGGCCTCGTTTTCCAGCGGTGACAGCGTACTGGAACGAGGCCGCAGCCGGTCCTGGTAGGTTAAGGGCGCCCGTCTCCACTTACGCCCCCATCACCAGAGTGGAGGGGTTCACCGAGCGGGGCTATCCCTCGGTACCCCCCCCTTGAGCCAAGCCTCGCGGAAGCCTTCGGAGCGAAGCTGTCCAGGCTGGAGAAGCGTCCCGTCCCTCCGGGGAAACACGACCAGGCGGTGACCGCGCTCTCCAACAGAGCCCACCAGTGTGCTTTTCAGGCGGCCGCGGCTAACAACAACGTGGCGCTGTTAGCATTTAGCATGTCGAAAAGGCTGGAGGCCTCAGACCTGCCGGAGGAGACAAAGAGCTCCCTGTGTAAATCGGCAGACACCATCCTCAACATGTGCGCCGCTTCCACGGTTTGCCTGTCGAGGATTGCAGCGTGGATGACGGTAATCCAACGGTCCACCTGGCTTCGTCAATCTCCCTTGCTGCCAGAAAAGCTGCACAAAGACCTGATGGAGGGCCCCATCTCATCGGACGCGCTGTTCGGAAGCAGCTTGAAGACCATGCTGGCGAATTCGAAGCAGTCGGAGGAGATGTCGGAAGCTGTGCGCCATCTCATCAAGCCGCGCGGCTCATCCCGTCCCCCAGCCCGCTGGAGAGACCGTCGAGAGCAGAGGCAGAAACATCGACGCTCCACAGCAGCAGCAGCTTCGTCTCGCCCAGCTCCACCACCAGCCCCGCCCGCCAGAGACCACCCCTCCTCAGTCCGGCAGCCTGCACTTCAGCGTTTCCCCAGAGATCGCCT